AAGGCTGTCCCCCGGTTTTTTTAGATTATTTAATTGTTCTCTCGGATCTTGTACCACTTGGGCTTCCCAAACCCAAAAATGACAGGAAATCAAACCCGGGAACTCCAAACTAATTTTTCCAAACCTTTTTCCTGCCAAACATTCATTCTTTAAAAAATTGAATAAACTAACCCCAAAGGGCCCCAATGGAAATAAGTCACCCCTGACTTTTTTGGGTTATCCTTGGTTTCTACACATATGCTTTCCCATGTATGGGGTAAATTTATGTAACTGAAAATTTTGGGGTTTTTCCTGAATAAATTACTTACTTTTAACCCCCTTTCCCCCCACTTTCAAGAAAAAAAATAAAAGATTACGTTTTGAAAAGGGTTCGAAAAACAGTCTCCCTCCCTATTCCCGCCATGAAAAGTATTAAATTTGGGGGGGAAAACTTAAAAAAATTATGTAAAGTATTAATTTCAGTTCACCAAAAATTTAAAATTAAAAACCCGTAGGGCAACGTTCGGCTCACAACGCAAAAGGGGGATAATTTTTATTTTGTAAACCAAAAAAAATTTTTATTAAGAAAAGATAAATTTTTTTTTTCGAATTTTTAAACCCCGGAGGGTTTGCCACCCCTGATAACAATTAAAGGCGGTGCGTATCGAGGCTAAATTTTAAATTATTTCCCTTGGGGGCCTCAATCTTGTTCCCCCGGAGCGACCCACCCAGCGGGCTAACACCCAGGTACCTACTTGCACTTGGTGAACAGGACCCAAAAAGGGGGGTAAGGAAACCCGGGAAAACGAAAACCCGGGGCCCCCTATTGTGGAAACGAGAGCTTTAACCCCCAGGGGCCCCCGGCCCCCCCTGTGACTTTTTTCTTTAAAAAAACTTTTGAGCCCCCTAATGTGCTCCTGCCTTTTTTTTTTTTTTTGGGAATTGTATCACCCAAAGGATTGGTAAGGGGATGCATAATTCCTTTTAAGGAAAAACTTTATTTTGGTGAAAGGGCCCGATCTAAATAAACGGCGCTACTGTTTAAATTTCCCAAGATCAAACCCATAACCTTCCCTTCCCCCGGCTTTGTAAAGACCGCTTGGGGGTTAGCGTTTCCTATAAAGGGATAATCAAATTCCCCCGGATGGATAAAAAGCAAGTAAAAATAATTTCTCAAAAATAACCGGTTTTGATTCCCCGGGGGCCCGGGGAAATGTTTTTGGAGTATACCCGAAGGGGTTCCCGGGGGGAACGATTTAGGCCCCAAGGCTTTTTTTCTCGGGAGAAAAAGGGGGGGTGATGTAAATAGAAAGAGGGCAGGCGCTCCCTTTTTTGGCGACGGAAAAAAATAACGAGCGGCTAAAAGGGGGTCAAAATATCTGAAAGCGTAGGGAGGGAAAATGGTTTAGGAAATAGAAGCATCGAACTTTAAACTAAAAAAAATCCTTTAAAGGGGTCAGAATCGCGGGAAAAAAACAAAAGCCATAAAAGAAATCGAAAGAAACCCCGGGTTTTTTTTTCTCCTATGCCAATTTTAAAAACAGAACAAAAGCCAGTATTGGGCCCCCACTTAAACAAAAAGGGGTTTCCACACAGATACAGAAGGAAATGAGTGGCTACTCAATCTAATTTGACTCAGTTTTTTGCAAGCCGCTAACCAGAACCCGAGAAATCGAAGATCAAAAAGAAATTTTTTTTGAAGAGCCCCAAAATTTGATTAAAACAAGCCTAAACCCATGTTATCCCGAAAGCCCAAAAAACTTTGAACAGGCGATAAATGACCTGCCCCTGCACTCTGCCCCCGGGCCCCGATCTGGAAATCTGTGTTAAACAAGAATGCAAGAAGCCCCTATCAAAGGGGCCTTTTCCATCCTATGGGGGGGAGCTTTGGAAAACGGGGGTCGTCCCACAGTTTTCTAAAAACAAAAGACATAGCCCCACTCCCCAAAAGGGGGGGTAAAGCAACAGAAAAGAAATACAACCAATGGAAATAAAAATTTCCCCTAAATTTTTTAAAAAAACTTTGAAAGGGCCAAGAAACAAGATCACCCCCCCAACTAGAAACCCACAAAATTAACCCCAACCCCGGGGAACCCTGGGTTTTTGAACAGGTCGCTCCTGCCCGCCCCAAAATTTTTGGAAACACTACGACAAGGTCCTAAATGCAATAGAAGAAAAAAAAAATTCAGATGTAATTTAACAAACTTTCAAAAGCCTTCGACAAGTGTGACCTTTGGGGTAAAAAGCGAAAAAAATGCGTGCTAAAGGGAAAAACAGGGAAAAATCCCGGGCGATGGATTTTCCCTAATTTCCTTTACTAACAGAACACAGGAGTTGTCGCAACAAGAGTTTAAAATCCCCAGGCGCTAAGGTGAAAAGCTCTGTTCCACAAAGGGAAAAGTAAATAGCTCCCATCTTTTTCCTCATCCCATTTTCCGACTAGAAAAGGGGTTCGCCAACAGCAAACCCTGTCTTTTCCCTTTTCAGATGACACCCGAATCTGCAAAGACAGTGTCTTCCCTTGCAGACAAATTTCAAGGCTCCAGGCGGCATTTAAAACCCAATCTTTCAGTGGGGTCAGAAAACCCTATGAAGTTCAAAAGAGGAAATTTTTAATTACCAGAAAATGGGTAAAACATGAAAATTTTTTAAAAATTTAGAGTACAAAAAAAATTCTGGGCCCCAAAAAAGAGCGAAACACCAAAAGTCAAAGACCCGGGAAATGATTATGTCGGGGGATCTCACCTTTTAAGGCCTAACATTGGGATTAATCGCATCTGCAAAAAAAATTTTCGGAGGGATAATGAGAACCCTTTAAAACAGGGGGGCCAAAACCCTGAGACACTCTTCAGGTCCTTTTTCCCCATTAGGCTGGAATATTGCTGCACTCTTAAAAGCACCTTTTTTAAAGGGGAAAGAAATTTCTCTCCCAGAAAAATTTTCAGAGAACTTTTAAAGGCGGGGCAAAGGAGATAAAACCCTCCCAAATTCCCCGGGAGCGCCCTTTAGGTTTCTAAAACCCCGTATTTTCCCCGGGAAAAAAGGAGGGAGAGTTTAAAGATTATTAACCCGGAAAATTTCCCAGAGGGCTATAAACCCAACTTGCCACGAAAATCAAATCACTACGAAAGCAAAAAGATTGGCCCGCCGATGCACCATCCCCTCAATGGAAAAAAACAGGGGTGTCACTTGCACGTTTTAAAAGACCATACAATTAAATGTCAGGGGCCCGAGACTGTTCAACTGCCTCCCGCACAAATAAGGGGGATTACCAACGGGCCCCCGGGGAGTCTTCAAGCTGGCCTGGACCCAAACACCTAAAATCAGTTCCTGAACAACCCGGGGTGTGGCTTGGGCGTTGGTTTGCGTGCAGCCCAGCAGCCCAAAAGCCCCGGTTTACCCGGGGTGATCCCCCCGGAGGGCCCGGTCACAGAACCCCGGGGCCCCGGGGGCGTTGACCCCCCAAACTCTCTCCAGGTAAACCTTAAGGGCTCTCCAGAGAGTATTTGTAAACCCGAGTAAAGTCCCAGGCAGTTCGGGGGAAAAAACTCTGTTCCCCAAGGCACAGTAATAGCCCCCATTTTTGTTCCTCAAAAACCCATACCCCCAAAAAAAGGGTAGACCTTTGCAGTGTTCTATGTTCTTATGTGGGTTACAAGTATCTTCGGCAGGTTAAATCACCACCACCAGATGTAGACCAAACGAAATGTAAACTTTGCCAGTTGGACTATTGTCACACCTTGTTTCCTTTTGTACTGGAATGCAATAAAATTATTGAATTCAGAGACAACTCACTCAGAAATGTTCAAGAAATGTCAAAGTATTTTATTCACAGTGGTATATTACAAATCATTCTGGAAAAATACCCCGACCTTGCTCACTGTATGTAAAGCATTGCCACTGTGTAAGTGTTTATTCAGGTATACACAAATACAGTTACATAGATTATCATACATAACAGCATATGTGTAGAGAACCTAGGATAACCCAAAAAGTCGGACAAAGTGACTTATTTCCATTGGGGGGTGTGTGTGTGTACTCGAATATTTGTTCTCTCCTGTTTGTACTCACCTACTTGTGGTTGCAGGGATCGATTCATAGCTCCTGGCCCCGCCTCTTCACTGACTGTTACTAGGTCCTCTCTCTCCGTGCTCCATGAGCTTTATCATACCTCATCTTAAAACTATGTATGGTTCCTGCCTCAACACGTCACTTGCCAGACTATTCCACTTCCTGACAACTCTATGACTGAAGAAATACTTCCTAACATCCCTTTGACTCATTTGAGTCTTCAACTTCCAATTGTGACCTCTTGTTTCTGTGTCCCATCTCTGAAACATCCTATCGATGTCCACCTTGTCTATTCCGCGCAGTATTTTATATGTCGTTATCATGTCTCCCCTGACCCTCCTGTCCTCCAGTGTCGTCAGGTCAATTTCCCTTAACCTTTCTTCGTAGGACAATCCCCTTAGGTCTGGGACTAGTCTTGTTGCAAATATTTGCACTTTCATTTTTATTTTCAAAGATTAGAGTTGTTTATATTTTTCCCGGGAAAGTCAACCTCTTAGGGGCGGCGGCATACAACCTTTAATACCCGTAAAACTGTTATTTTTATTATTATTAACATATTTGTCTACTTTTAGCTTAAAATATAAAGTTTATTATATGCAATCTTATGATTTTGAATGTGGCAGTAACTTTGAAAAATAAATATGTAAACAATGACAAAATGTGTTCGAGCGAAGGAAATGGAAAATGCCCAGTATAAGTAAATAAGTAAATTATTCAGGTGTACACAAATACAGTTACATAGATTATCATACATAGTAAAATATGTGTAAAGAACCTAGGATAACCCCAAAAAAGTCAGACTAACTAATTTCCAATGGGGTCCTTTGAAACGTTAATACGTATGACTTTGTCTTATGTTATTGATTGCATTATGGGCATGTTACAGAATTATATGTATTATTACGAATGTTTTAATTTCTCATTATTTGAGAGTTGTGGGCGTGCTGTGAAGTAACACTATTAGAGACACTATAGAGTAGGTGGAAGTCGGAGACAATGTTAGAACACTTCGGGTGGACCCGAGATAAGTGACAGGAAGAGCTGAGACAAGTCTGTGATCACTGCTGTTCTCGTCATCTCTCAAACACCCATCATGGTCAGTGTATCGTAAGTTATTGGCACATGGAGTGAGGCACTAATACTAGTAATTTATCACCGAGCCTTGAGTGTGCATTGCTGTTGCTTCATGTGTGTGGTGTGGCATGATTCATAGGGAGATCTAACTCATTCGCAGCTTTTTAATATTTCAACTTTTATTGAAACATACTTGAAGAATATTTATTATATTTTATTTTGAGTAATTTACACCGTGTAGAATTACTTATGTGTACCTATACCTAAATAAACTTAACAACTTAATGCAGTTATTCAGTTCTCATAAGCCTTCTTAATATACCCTCATTCAGTCTGTCATAAATCAGGAAATACATATATGTAAATAAGTACCTCACAAAAAAAGTCCAAGAATATTCAACCAAGAACCCCAGTGGAAATAAATCACTTTGACTTTTTTTTGGTTATCCCAGCTACTCTACACATATACTGCTATGTATGATAATTTATGTAATTTATTAACTTGTCGGTTCTCTGAACCATTTATCTAATAATTTATGTAACTGTATTTATCTGTACCTGAATAAATAGCATACAATACCACCAAGTTGATTAGTAAGTCACATTTGCAGCATTCGGAATCTTTTTGACAAAATGTTTTGCCTACACTTCAAGCTTCAGCAGTCAAATACAAAGATGAATCAGAATCCTGGAGTCATTTGCATTTATGGAAGATGAGGTAGACGAGATGTAGAGGTAGTTTGATGTAATCAAAGGTGATGCCGATGTAATCTAGGGGTGATAGACTGATCACATCAGACTATCTTTACACTTTGTCTGCTGCTTCCATCAATGCTGACATCTTCAGGATTCAGATTTATCTCCATATTCGGCTGAAGAAGCCTGCAGTGCAGGCAGAACATTTCATCAATAAGATTCCTTGTGCTACATACGTGTCTTTATCACCGCCATCATATACTGGGTCAACCAGAAATGATGGGTATCTGGGTCAGTGGCAGCTAATAGTCACAGGGGAAAATGTCACTTAAAACTTCAAGTAAAGTTAGTTTAGGTTATGTTAGTTTGTTAGGTGTGGCTAGATTAAGCAAAGTTGGACTAGTCTAAGTTAGGCTAGTTGCTGTGACCTTTTTCCTGCAAATTTTTTGCATAGAGTTATGTGGGTTAGTGGGCTACCAACACCAACAGCCTAATTGAACTGGCAGTCAACAGACGAGCCTGGTCCCAGGCTGGACTTAGAGGGTAGAAAATTTAAAAACAGTCACAGATACTGTATATAATAAGTTCTATTTTAATGTATATTGTTGTTTGAATATCATGAACTCCAGTCATAAATATAGATAATACATATTTGCATAATTCACTACAAACGATGCTAATAAAATCAGTATCACTTGTACAGATTTCATATGAATAAAATGGACTATTATTATTATAGTTATTATTATTATTACAAGCAGCTGTACTCACACATAACCTAACATGACATGCTTACTCCTTACCGATCTGAATTCAGTTTTAAAGAAAAGCACTAATCCCATCATGTGTACCACTGAGTTACAGTTTAAATAAAATCAGGTTGAAGATGTTACCGCTTTGCCTGGAAGTACTGTGGTAAGATACGATAAGATTTTGTTTGGATTTTTAACCCTTGAGGGTTAGCTACCCAGGTTAACCCAAGAAAGGCAGTGTGATGTTATTTCCATTGGGGTCCTCAGTCTTGTTCCCCAGGATGCAACCCACACCAGTTGACTAACACCTAGGTACCTACTTGTTTGGTAGGTAAACAGGACAACATCTGTAAGGAAACACACCCAATGTTTCCACCCTTGCCTGGGATTGAACCACAGACACACTGTGTGTGAAGCAAGTGTTGCCTACCTGGCCATGGAATACCATGGCTTGGCAGGCCTGTATGAAGGAAAATAAAACTGCCATGTTTATCTGAAGTGTAACTTAATTTAATCAAAACCTAAGCTTCATGATAAACCAATTGTTCATCTGAACTTTGCTAGTGCAGATTAGCAGATAAATATGCAACTGTGTGTATGACAGGTGAGAGAGGTGAATGATTATGTATGTATATGTATAGTACAGTATATACTCTAGAACTACTGGAAGGAGATACAGGAAATTTTTATTTAAATTTCATCATTTTTCTTTGCCCTTGGTTCCTAATAATATCCCTGTGGCAGTATTTGTGTTTTTGGGAGTTGGTTTTAATATTTATCGAATATTAGTTATGCCAAGGTATTTAATAATTTTTGCTGTTGGTATAATAGTTATTATTAATGAGGTGATGAGATCTAATGTGTGTGTTTGTAAACTGTTAATTATATGATGTTTTGCAGTCGGCCACATTACGTCCTTACCTGAATGCTGTTCGGCACACACTCTCAGCTGCAATGTGTCTTCATAATTTTAACTCTCAAGTTGTAGAAAGACACAATAAACCTGAAGTAGAGGTTAGGTAAGTAATTCCATTCACATTTTTCTAAGCAAATAATTATATGCCACAATGGATGGAAAAATCTTTAGAAATGTTGAGGTAGGATGCAGTCTTTTGTAGTAAGGGTCTGGAATAATTGCTACCTTTATAGAAAAGGTTAAGATATTGAAAATAAAGTATAAAAACTTAGAAGACATTAAGAATAAATTGAATTCACAAACATGTACATGTTATAACCATTGGAAATAGGTTAAACACTAAAGATGGAACACCTTTAGCATTGCTCTGCCTCTATATGTACCTACAGATAGATAGACACATGTTTGTTCACACAAACATGCACAACCACAGCTGCATCTAAATGTAAATGGAACTAATTGGAGTCTCAAAGTTGATTACATAAGTGCTGATAAAACCACTAAGAAGGCAAATGAGCCTAGATAAAAGATGAAAGATGATAATCTAAGCCTAATAGAATCCATGAAACTCAAACCATTGAGAGTGATGCCTACCATAATAATTTATTTTGTACATTCAGAAGAAATGAAAATAACTCAGAGGAAGAGACCCAAGAGAAGTCAAGAACAAATGATATTACAGTATTAATTAACAGGGCTACATATGGTGTACCCCTCAAGGTTCTGTCATGTTGGTGAGGGAATGCCTCTCATTTTCTTAGACATTGTATGACCCCTATGGGTTAAAAACTCCCCATAAATGTAATTTCATCTACATATAGTGCATACTCATCCATTAATCTGTGACAGGTGAAAAATCTAATTTTACATTGAAAAATAATGATCTATATTCTGCTTCATTTTCTGCAGATTATTTTGGTAATTAGTTATGTCAGATTAAGAGTTCTATTCATCATTAATAATGCTTCACTTAGATTGTGTGTTTTATTCCTGGTCTTCATACTAAAGAATGAATATAAAAGCATTGGGGAATACAAAGGATAGAATTATTCCACTGTATAAGTTATCTTAAAATCAAAAGTAGATTGAGAACACAGAAATTTCACTCAGGCATAGAATGAGAGCAGATATGATTGAAGTACTTTATATACAAATAAAAGGTAGGTTTAAAAACTGGAAATAAAAATAGGGTGCTAGGAATATCTAATCAAGAAAGCACCCTGAATAATAGATTCAAGTTGGATAAGTTCAGATTCAGAAAGAACATAAGAAAATTTTGGTTTTATCAGTAGATGTTAAAAGCATTTCCCCACAACTAGTCAGTATACTACTGGGGTGTGCATGTTAGTTAACACTGCATTGAACTTCTGTTAGCAATCAACATAGGCAGTACAATACCTAACTTTCATATTGACACATAAGACTAGTAGAAATGTTTCAAGATATTCACATTCTATATATTGTATCCACTATATTGATTTTTATATTGTAATTTTTTATTCCTCAGATCAAGTAAGGAACTCTTGATGACTGCTGTTGTTGTTAGTCGAAATGAAAAAGAGAAAGTTCTAATAGAACCATCCATCAACTCCATCAGGATTTCCATCTCTATTAAACAAGCAGATGATATTGAACGTATCCTTTGTCATAAATTTATGAGGTAGTTATTGCAAACATTGATGTATTCTTACCAGCTACTGTATATACAATATGCCTTTTAATTGGATTTTGAACTGGAATAGTATGTTAATACTAACAAGCAAGATAGAATGAGTTACACCTCAAAGCATTATATACTTCAGTTAATAATAAAAGTTTCACCTATGTGGTGCCTATAAAGTTACTGACTTGATAATGCCACTGTGAGGGTAAAACATTATTAACAAATGTATCCACTGCATCTGTGATATTTACGTAACCAGATTTCTTAAATGCATACAGTAAACCCTACCTGTATTGGATCTCTATAATGGACTTCGTAAATACAAAACAAAATTTTCTGGGTCATTTGATTTGGAAATGGTAGACAAAGTCCATTAATTAGAAGAATTGTCCATTAGTGTTACGGTCACAGCAAAACAATCAGATCTCTATCCACTACAACAAAACAGTCTTGTCTCTATCCATCACAATTGTCATCACTAGCCACCTTACCCCTTCCCTCCAGTTAGTCTGTTATACAGAGGGTTTACTGAATTGTACTTTAATAATAAATCAAATACATTTTACATTATTTATCATTACTGAAGGTCTTCCCATCAGGGAATGCTGTCTTTTGATTTTGGCCTATATAGTTTATTGTATAGTTTTGGGGGGTCACCTGAGGTTTCCTTCTCCCCCCCTCCTCCCAGGTAAAAAACAGTCAAATATAGTTATGCTAATTCTAATATTGGTTAGCTGGTCATTTTTTTATTACATTAGCCATCTTTCACCAAGGTAGGGTGACCCTTAAATAGGGAAATACACTCGGCATCATTCATTCATTAGCTGTCTTGTCATGAGTGCAAGCACTCTATACACTTCTTGCCTCCAAGACCCAAAATTGACTAACCAGTTTCTCCGAATCCCTTCATAAATGTTAGCTTGCTCGTACTACCAAAAGCATGTCAAGTCCCTAATGCCTCGTCTTCATTTATATTTTGTGAACATGTTCACACATGCCTTCTAGATTCTCAAGCCCTTATTGCTTAACCCTATCACGTTCCATAATAGAATTCGTGGAGGGATTTTTTAAAACCTTTTGACAAGTGAATACTGGTATTTAGGCCTTACTAAGATTTTGTTCTTGGCCTGTTTTTATATGTGAATTATAGTTTGGGGGCTATGCTAAATCAGTACGGGCTGTATGGAACGTTATGTGCAATACAATGTTGAAGCTGTGCACATAAAAACTGCACTCAACATGAAAAAATAGAGAAGTTTTTTTCTTACGAGTTGGCCATCTCCCACCGAAGCAGGGTGACCCAAAAAGAAAGAAAATCCCCAAAAAGAAAATACTTTCATCATCGTTCAACACTTTCACCTCACTCATACATAATCACTGTTTTTGCAGAGGTGCCAAGAACACAACAGTTTAGAAGCATATACGTATAAAGATACACAATATACCCCTCCAAACTGCCAATATCCCAAACCCCTCCTTTAAAGTGCAGGCATTGTACTTCCCATTTCCAATACTCAAGTCCGGCTATATAAATATAACCGGTTTCCCTGAATCCCTTCACTAAATATTACGCTGCTCACACTCCAGCAGCTCGTCAGGTCCCAAATACCATTCATCTCCATTCACTCCTATTTAACGTGCTCACACATGCTTGCTGGAAGTCCAAGCCCCTCACCCACAAAACCTCCTTTACTCCCTCCCTCCAACTTTTTCGAGGACAACCCCTACCCTGCCTACCTTCTCCTACAGATTTTTACGCTGTCCATGTCATTCTACTTTGATCTGTTCTCTCTAAATGACCAAACCACCTCAACAACACTTCTTCAGCCCTCTGACTAATACTTTTATTAACTCCACACCTTCTCCTAATTTCCACACTCCAAATTCTATGCATAATATTTACACCACACATTGCCCTTAGACAGGACATCTCCACTGCCTCCAACTGCCTCCTCACTGCAGTATTCACAACCCAAGCTTCACACCCATATGAGTGTTGGTACCACTATACTTTCATACATTCCTTTCTTTGCCTCTATAGATAATGTTTTTTGTCTCCACATATACCTCAATGCACCACTCACCTTTTTTCCTTCATCAATTCTATGGTTAATCTCCTCATCCTTCATACATCCATCCGCTGACACGTCAACTCCCAAATATGCGAAAGCATTCACTTATTCCATACTCCTCCTCCCCAATTTGATATCCAATTTTTCTTTATCTAAATCATTTGATACCCTCATCACCTTACTCTTTTCTATGTTCACTTTCAACTTTCTACCTTTACACACACCCCCAAACTCGTCCGCTAATCTTTGCAACTTTTCTTTAGAATCTCCCAAAAGCACAGTATCATCAGCAAAAAGTAACTGTCAGTTCCCATTTTGCATTTGATTCCCCGTAATTTAATCCCATTATATAAGTAGTATTTGTTTTACAAAACTTACATATAAATAGTTAAAACCTTATTTAAAAATAAAGCAAGTTGTAGGCTGCAATACAGTGGACCCCCAGTTTACGATATTTCATTCCAGAAGTATGCTCAGGTGCCAGTACTGAATGAATTTGTTCCCATAAGGAATATTGTGAATTAGATTAGTCCATTTCAGACCCCTAAACATACACGTACAAACGCACTTACATAAATACACTTACATAATTGGTGCATTGGGAGCTGATTGTAAAGCAGGGGTTCACTGTATATGTATTGCGTAAAATGCAACAAACATTGACATGAAAATGAGTTTTTGTAATTAGAATATTATACAAAAATACAAATCCTTAATTTTTTAACACTGGCCATCTCCATCAAGGTTAGGCTAGCCCCAAAAAGAAACCCTTTGTCACTATTACTGTCTTGCCAGAGGTGTGCAGATACTACAGGTCACATGCCCTTCCAAACTGCGAATATCCCCACCCCTCATTCAGAGTTCGGGAGTGGTAGGAATATTCGTAAAATTGTTTATGGCTCCTCGTGGTAATATGATACGAAGCAGTTTCTGGTGTCTGATAGGCAAAACGCTCTCTTGCAGACATTGCATAGCCATCTAGAACAGTGCACATCTTTAGATGTGGAGCAGAATTCACTGGTTTGCCTGTTGTTATTGAAGACTGGATCATGAAACACTGAAGTGGACAATGGAGTCCGAAGGCAAGAAAGCTTATTTCCCATTCCTTGGCTTTTGTGTGATCCTGAAGATGCTGATATATCCATCTTGAAGTCTTTGAGTGTTATATGATCAATCCCTGATGTGTGTTCAAAGTGTTGAAACTTTGAACACACCATCTTCTGGCCCTCACAGGAGTCTTTTAGAGATGTGGGAGCATGTCACTTTTGTTAATGCTGCCTTTCTTGGAGTTGTAAGCTTTGATGACATTGAGACAGGAGACCTTCGGTGTCATCATAAGTAGAGAATGTTGTTGGGTTCAATTCGGTTAGAAGATAGCATAGTGACATAGTGACTTAAAGACCAAGACTCGTCAATGGAACATTAGTTCAGTGATCCTCTCTTCACCATGGACTGACTAATCTCTTTAAAATCTTGGAAGTGGTGGATTACCTGCATATCTGTGCTTTCCCCAGTTGTTTGGTATCTTCCTTTATTTTACTCATATTGAACAAATACACTAACTGCTCCAAAACGATATCCCCACCTGCTTTTAATGTTCTTTTTATTCTCTTCAATTACTTGCTGTTATATGAGTGGGGTGCCTATTAATATTGTTCTAAATCTAATCTTCACTGACTGTTTTCTTTCATTCTTCCACTAGCCTTATGAGATTCATGTCCTTTTTTTTTTTTTACTTATTAGAAGTTTATGCCTTGAGCCAGGGACTTAAGTATAGTGTAAGAAATGGTTTTGTTAATACGATTAGAAAGTTAAGCACTAGTGCAAATCTGAGATCTTTATTGTAGACAGTTTCGCCTACGTGCTTTATCATACAGATTGACTGAGAATCTCTTAAATACTGGAAGACGGTAACCTTATACAAAGTTGAGGTTTCAGTCCCTTGGTTGGAGTTAGTGTTCACTTACTCATGGTGGAACGAAATCACTCCACCAGATGCTGTGAATCCCCACCTCATGGCTAGATCTGATTTACCTCTCTTTCATATAGTTTACTGTCTTTCCCACTGAGTGGGGCCTAGCCTATGTAATATACTCAACTGGATGGCCCTAATGCTTATAACTTCATGATCATCCGATGTTGCACATTGTCTATCCCTTTTCAAGCTCATTGCTTCTTTTTCTCTATTAGATATTCTTCCTGCCCAAGCAACATTGCTCCTTCTCTCAGCCAAGTAATGTTACTTTCCAGTACATCCACCTCCCCCTCAAGCATCTCTCTTCTGTTGTAAACTGTTAAGTCCACGTGTTCTCACTCCAAAACTTTTTCTTATTCTTAGCAAAATTTGTTAATGAAGCCTCACTCATTAGCTTTCCTTTTGCACTCTTTTTACCACACTTTTAACTTTTCTTTTTCTCTCCATATAAATCAAGGGCAGAAGGAAAGAGGAATAAGGGGTCATCCCAGGAAGGTTTGGAGAGGGGGTGGAGTAAAGGAGGTTTTGAGTGCTAGGGGCTTGAGCATTCAGAAGACTTGTGTGAGCATGTTAGACTGGAGTGGAGAGAAGTAATTTTTATGGCTTAACATTGTGCTATTGGATTTAAGGGAAACCTGTTAGCCAGATTAGTCGTAAAGGTAGAAAGCGCAGTGCTGTCTTCTGTCAAGGCATGGTGATCCAAAGAAGGAAACATCCAACATTATTCATTCAGTGTCTTACCAGAAGTTTGTTGACATTACAATTCAGATTACTCTGTGACTGCAACATATTCACCCCTCCTTCAGAGTGCTAGCACTGTCCTTCCCATCTTTAGGACTCAAGTCTGGCTAACTGGTTTTTTCTGAATTCCTTCATGTTTCCTTGCTTACACACCAACAGCACACTTTATATATTTTATTTTACAGATTTATGATGATGAGAGCTGAAAATTTCATAATTCTACGTAGAAAACCTGTACAGGTTAGTTTAATTTTTGGTATTTGTAGACAGGATAAATATCTTGATGAAGGTCACTTGCAGTTGTAACAGTTTTTTACTTTATTATTAAGCTCTGTATATTTTTCCTGTACAATATAGTATAGTGAATACCTTCTTTGATTTATCATTGCATGCTGAATAAGTATACCTAGTTATTCATAGACATAAAACTAGTTCTAAAAATGTACAGTAAATAATATTGTATGTAGATTTTTAGACTTAAAGTTGATTTTGATCTTTGAATATTTGTTTATGACACTGAACTTGTTTATTTTTAATTAAAAATCAGCACTGATGTTAAGGTGTGATGTTCACTAATTACATCTTTACATTTAACAGGGCTACGACATATCTTTCCTCATAACGAACTTCCACACAGAGCAGATGTTCAAACACAAACTGGTAGATTTTGTCATTCACTTCATGGAAGAGATTGATAAGGAGATTTCGGAAATGAAACTGGCTGTGAATGCTCGAGCCAGAGAATGTGCCATGGAATACTTAAAAAGAGTAAGTACTGTACATTGTAAATGTAAACATGGTAGAGCCAAAAGTAATAAAAAGATGTAAGCAGAATAAGATGCTGAAAATATATATTAGGAGATAAATCACACAAGTTACCTCTCGAGATTTTATAATTACGTTACCATTGCTATTTTGCTTTTGTAATAGATTTCAAGCCATTAGTGTTGTGGGAGGTGACGAAACTGTTGGAAGTGGGGGGGGGGGGGCTAGTAACCCCTTCTGTACTAAATGCTAAACAGAAGATAAACTTTATGAGAGTGTTTCTTCTTTTTTGAGGCACCCTGCCTCGGTGGGAGACAACTGGTGTGTTAAAATAAATAAATAAATAAATGTTTAAAATGAACATTGATAAGAGTAAGGTGATGAGGATATCAAATGAGTTAGGTAAAGAAAAATTGGTATCACATTGGAGGGAGGCAGTATGGAAGAAATGAATGTGTTTAGATATTTGGGAGTAGACTTGTCATCAGATGGGTTAATGAAGGACAAGGTAAACCATAGAATTGAAGAAGGAAAAAGAGTGGTTGGTGCATCGAGGTACCTGTGAAGACAAAGAATGTTATCCATGGAGACAAAGAAGGGAATGTATGAGAGCATAGTGGTACCTACACTCATATGGGTGTGAAGCATGGGGTGTAAATTCTGCAGCAAGAAGAGGCTGGGGGCAGTGGAGATGTGGTGTATAAGGCCAACATGTGGTGTAAATATTGTGCTGAGAATTCATGTGTGTAAATTAGGAGGTGTGGAGTTACTAAAAGCTTTATTCAGAGGGCTGAGGAGGGGTTGTTGAGGTGGTTAAGTCTCTTAAAGAGGATGGAATAAAATAGGATGACTGTAGTGGAGGGGTAGGGGTTGTCCTAGGAAAGGATGCGAGAGAGGGGGTAAAAGTAGTTTTGTGTGTAAGGGGCTTGGACATACAGCGGGCATGTGTGAGCATGTTAGGAGTGAATGGAGACAAATGGTTTTGGGGACTTGAGCTGTTGGAGTGTGAGCAGAGTAATATTTTGTGAAGGGATTCAGGGAAACCAGTTAGCTGGACTTGAGTCCTGGAGGTGGGATGTGCAATGCCTGCCCTTTAAAGGAGGGGCTTGGGATATTTGCTGTTTAGAGTTACATCTGAACTATTGTATCTGAGCACCTCTGCAAAGATAGTTATTATTTGTGAATGATGGTGAGTGTTTCTTTTTTGGGTCACCCTGCCTCGGTGAGAGATGGCCACCGTGTTGAAAAAATAAAGAAAATAATAAATACCTGAACAGTATGAGACCTATAATTAATATACTGTAGTACTTGATTATCCTTTTCATTTCACGAGTATTAATTAGATTATGTTTAGAAACGGAGGATTTTTTGCAGAAACAACATAGTGTATTTTCCCACTAAATTTGTCAAGATCTGACAACTGTTTTATTTTACTTATATTACTGATGTTTTTCTTTCCAGTTCTGAGTGGTAATAAAAATGTTAGTGCACAGCAATCTGTCAAATCATTGGGGATTCTCAAGGTAGGAGGCAAGACTTATAGCGTCTTTTCTTTCACCTTGTGTTTCATGTGTGAAAAACAAATTTCATGACTGATTTTATTGCTTTGGAGTGATAATTTACATTGGTTTGTATTTGTGTATCATAAAAATCACATCTTCACAAACAAAATCCATTTTTGTACATTTCAAACATTGCACAAAATTATTTTTTGTTAAATATATAAAAGTACTATAATTAGCAATGCTTTTTTAATGCATATGATGTATCCAAATAATTGTGGGGAATTAAAATGGTTGTTCGCAATACATTTAAACCATTCCAAATTTTATATGAAACTTCAAACACAGGCTCTTGCTACAGGTTGTTTAATTCACAGCGACTGTTTAGCCAAGTTGTGTTATTATATACGGTGCACTTTTATACTAGTTGTCAAAGAAAACATTTGTGTAAGTTGGAATACTATTTTGTATGACTGATACTGTCTTGGTATATCTTATTAAGTGTATTGTACAACAGTTTTGATTGTGAATAATAATTTATCAATACGGCCATTAAAAGAGTATTTTAGAAATGAGGTTTAAGAAATTATTAAAACAATTTCTTGAGGTGGAAATAATATCTAGTGCAAATGGTGCTGGCCCTTCATGAAATCATGATGAAAATTTTCAAACTTAAAATACTTAAAGTTTAGCAATAAATTAATGTCTATATGTAAGGAATAATGAATATCCCAGTTATTAGGCATTCAATTTAAAACGTTAAACACTGTTAAGCTGAGGTGTCAAATTTACTTGCTGTGGTAGGCCATAATGATATTCTATAGTGAACTAAAGCATTAAATTTCACCGTGCTGTTTAAAATGTTCGTTACACCTCCCCAACATACTGTTTTATCCAGTTAATTATCAATTTTCTCTCTGAGAAGCTTACATTTGAAAAAGCTCACCATTATCTTGATATATTGCTTCTGAAGTTCTTAATATGCATTTATTCAAGAAGTCCATTTTGGAAAAAGATTTTAATGTCAGTTTTGCGCATATGAACACAAGCAAAACTACCCAACTTCCTTTCCCCTTCCCCCAAGCCCCAAAAACCATCTGTGGTCTGTGTAATTCAAATGAGCTTGGCGAGCCTAAGCTGATCCATAGGGCGTATGTTTGACACCCCTGCTGTCAAGGCTGTTTTAATTTTTCTGTAATTTGCAGCTGGTAATTTTGTTAATTACCAAAGTTTTACACATGTGGTAAGTTTATAAGGAGTATATTGATAACATTACATCAACACAATAAAAATGGACATTACTTTTTCATGTTATTGTAGTAATTTACCAAATTTATATATCAATAGAGCTTAAATGAACCAAGAACAGTAGCTGGATCTCATTTTGTCTGTGTTTCCCTACATACTAATGATTAACTTATTCAAAATAGATGTAAACACTTAACTATATATTAATTTGTTAATTTATATACTTATGTTTATAATTATGCTGAGTTCTAGGAAACACTTTCAATTATTTTACAAATGTAGTTAACATTTGTAATTAATGCATTTTCAAGGCAAAATATTCACTTGTCATTGGTTATTACTGACCAAGAATAAAAGCAATTTTTTTTCTTGGCGGGGGGGAGGCATTAAATCCAAAGAGGTCATATAGCACCTGGGAAATGGATGGTATTTAGGCTTGCTCCAATGGGAGGATAAGTCCAGTATATTGAATCAGGACAGCACTAAACCCATATGGATTATATAACATTTACGGAACAGGAGGCAATCAAGTTTGATCCAAGGAAGGGGAGGATGAGTACAGTTTCTTGGATCAAGAGCCTTTACTGGTATCTCCACTGAGGGGCAAAAAAAAAAAAAAAAAAAAATATATATATATATATATACTTTAAATACTGCCAACCTGAATCTGACATGATTTTATTTCTGTTTTCATATCTTGTTCTATACTTTATCAAAGATAAAAAGTACATTCTGTATTTAAATTTTATTAATTTCAGGTATTCTGATTAATAAAGGATGTATAAAACTGATTTATGAAGTTATTCAGCTCCTTTGAGCTGCATGTTGAAAATACATATGTAAGAATTAAAGATTGTGTAATTAGTTTTCCTTAATTATTATTATAATCAGGGAAAGCACTAAACCTGCAAGGGTCATATAGTGCATGAGGAATAGAAGGCAGTCAGTTTTGATTCAAGGAAGGGGAAGTTCTATCCACTTCCTCAGGTTAAGAGTCCCTCACAGGCATCAAGGTATTTTTTTTTTTTTATATATATATGCATGCAAGGAATTCGCGAGAGCATGCGAAATATACACAAACACTGATCTCTGGCTGAAGGAGACTCGAACCTACGAACCTTAGGACAAGGTACGCAGTGCTTTACCAATCTACCCACACTGGACCAATACCTTGGCGTGTAGCATCCGCTACACGTTTGATCCAAGGCAGCCAGCTTTCAGGGAGAAGGCTTACAGCTTTTCATCTCATCCCCTGCATGCATCAGCCTTACTAGAGATTTGAACAATGCAAGGAATTCGCGAGAGCATGCGAAATATACACAAACACTGATCTCTGGCTGAAGGAGACTCGAACCTACGAACCTTAGGACAAGGTACGCAGTGCTTTACCAATCTACCCACACTGGACCAATACCTGTGGGTAGATTGGTAAAGCACTGCGTACCTTGTCCTAAGGTTCGTAGGTTCGAGTCTCCTTCAGCCAGAGATCAGTGTTTGATGTATATTTCGCATGCTCTCGCGATTCTTGCATTGTTCAAATCTCTAGTATGCTGATGCATGCAGGGATGGATGAAAGGCTGTAGCCTTCTCCCTGAAAGCTGCGCCTGGATCAAACGTGTAGCGACTACACGCCAGTATGGTCCAGTGTGGTACATTGGTTAAAGCACGGTAGCTTAGTCTAAGGTCGTAGGTTCAGAGTCTCCTTCAGCCAGAGATCAGGTTGTTATATATGCATGTATCTTTCATGGCTTCATATACGTACTTTGAAGCGTATGACCTTGTTAGTTAAGTGACTAGTTTTGATTATAATAATACCACATACTGTGTCATATGACTAATGTTTTGGAAGCAATGGTAAGTGTGAAACTAGTGCAATATTTAATACTCAAATCAAGCACTAAACCCATACAGGTCATGTAGCATCCAGGTTCAATTCAAGGGGAGCATAAGTTAAGCTCATGGTCAAGAGCTTTCACAGGGACAAGGATGTAGCATCATCCAAGGGTCTACTAAATTAACCAGTCAGCCAATTTTATTACCAAAACCAGGTGCTAAACCCAGTAGGGTCATATAGCTGTCAGCCAACCATTTATAGTATAAAGGTGAGTGGTGCACTGTGGAGACAAAGAATGTTATCCATGGAAGCAAAGAAATGAATGTATGATAGAATTTCAGCACCCATATCCAACACATAACCAAAAAAGTATCCAAAATGGTTGGGATCCTCTCCAAGATACGATACTACATGCCGCAAAATGCCCTTCTCACACTATACCATTCACTTATTTATCCATACCTCACCTATGCTATTTGTGCTTGGGGATCAACTGCAGCAACACACCTAAAGCCAATAATAACCCAACAAAAAGCTGCAGTAAGAATAATCACTAAATCCCATCCTTGGCAACACCCCCCTCCCCACTCTTCATACATCTAAACTTACTCCCTGTTCAGTACATCCACACTTACTACTGTGCAATCTACATCTACAGGACCTTAAACTCCAATATCAACCTTGACCTAAAATGCTTTCTTGATAGCTGTGACAGAACCCACAGGCATAACACCAGACACAAACATCTCTACGACATTCCCCGTGTCCGACTAAACCTTTACAAAAATTCAATGTATGTCAAAGGCCCTAAAATCTGGAACACCCTACCTGAGAACTCTAGAACTGCAGACACATTCATCACCTTCAAAACTACCATTAGAAAACATCTTATCTCCCTGATACACCCCGTCAACTAACTACACGAATACGACCTGGTGGTTCACACTTACACTCACTCACCCATTTGACCATAAACAGAAATATTAATCTCAATCTTAAAATAATGAATCCTGTGATACTCCAATACTGAAACTATGTACTGTGCCAAAACAAAAGCATTCACATTGCTAAACTCTCAAACTAGTATTTAGTCACTTAGCCATAATACCAACTTACCTCATAATTTGTAATATTTTAAAATTAAGAATTAAACTAAGTCTGCCCAAAATGCCTAGCCATGCTAGGTGTTCTAGTGGTACACTGTAATCATTATTTTACTACATGTAAGCCACACAATAACCAAATTCTGTAAACTCAGCACTGTAATCCTTATAGAGAATAAACTTTGAATTGAACTGAATTGAATTGAATAGTGGTACCAATGCTCTTATATGGGTGTGAACCATGGGTGGTGAATGTTGCAACAAGAAGGTTGGAGCTTGGAGGTTAGGTGGTGGTGTGGGGTTTCTAAAAGTATTATCCAGAAGGCTGAGGAGGGGTTGAGGTGGTTCAGACATTTGGAAAGGATGGAATAAAATAGAATAACTTGGAAGATATATTGCAGTTTTTGAACTGCGGTGTAGGCATGCCTCTGGCAAGACAGTGATGGAGTGAGTGATGATGAAAGTGTTACTTCTTTTTTGGGTCATCCTGCCTTAGTGAGAAATGGCTGATGTGTTAATAAAAAAAAATCATATCCAATCGAGCGCTAAATCCAAAAGGAACAGTGCTGCTGGGAGGATGTGCTAGAAGAGGAATATGCAGAGGTTAGGAGCGTGTAACGAGCAGGAGTGCATTCGAAGAATTAGTGGGGGTAAGGGAAGGTGCAAGAGGTAAATTAAAATCAAAGCTGGTGCAATATGTTAGTTTGTTAGGTCGGTCGGTCTGCATCAAAGGTGAGATTTTCAGCAAGGTCAGAGTAAGTATATTTGGGCAGTGGAGATGTCAAAAGTGAATTTTGAGTGCCTGCTGATAGAAAGGATAATCTATTAAGATTGGTGAACCAACAATGGAACCTGACAGTCCTCAAAGAGCTATGCCTGGAATTTTTCCATGAGTGAGGTATGTGGGGCTGATACATAAGCAGGAGAGTACTGTCTCCCAAACAATAGCAGTGGGAAGAAGACAGCTAGCCAGACATTCAACTCCCCTCATCCGCTTGTCCATGTTCAGCTTTGGCCATGTCGCCTTGCTAGTAGGCACAAAGCTGGTTTTTGCTGGGCCCCCTGGACTACATGTTTGGGGCAATGAACAAGCAGACTCAATCGTTCTGTCCACTACAGTATTCATGACCTCTTGATTTTGCATGGGTATTTCTTTATTGGACTACTTTTTTTTTTCAGAAACCTCCCAAAAACTCTGCAACTGTTGGCAACAATGGTGGTCCAAGTTGGATCACAAATTATTTTTTTTTCTCAAACCACATTTACAATTCAAGTCATTTTCCCACCTCTGTCAAGTTTAGGAGATTACACTTTCCTGCATATGTACTTGACACACTACTCAAAGATACCACAAGAAGAAACTTTGAACAGAAACTAACCTAATACATTAACTTTGGTTAAAATTTTACTCTTTCACATCCCCCACTAACCCGTACCCTCGCACGCCCCTGCCCCTCAATCTTGCCCTTTGCACATCTCTCCCTGCAGCAGAGTATAACCCTTTCGAGTTTAATGCTTAACTTCATTATAAAAGTAACTGCAAATATGGGAGTGGTAAACCTATAGAGATCATGCAGCACCTAGGAGGCAATCAGGTTAGATCCAAAGGGAGGATAGGTCTAATTCCCTAGATCAAGAGCCCCTTACAGATATCAAGGCATCTACCTCCCTTCAAGGTAATCTATTCTGTGAAGTGTAAACCCATGTGGGCCATTCAGCACAAGGGAATGAGGCTCAGTCTTCTATCTACTAATCTTGAAATGGACATGTTATCTTGCTTGTCACAACTATTAAGATTATTGTAATTATACAGCACCTAGGGGAAGAGGAGGCAGTCAGGTCTGATCCAAAGAAAGGAAGAGCAGATCCAATTCCTTGGATTAGAAGTCACTCATTAACATCAAGAAACTTTCCTTGAGGGGTCCAATGGGGAAGGCGAGGCTTCTTAACCACATAAGAAGGAAAAAGCTGAGAATGTTCATTCTTACTGTTTCCAGTTGTCAAAGTAGTTATGGCTGAGCGAGACATATTTTGCTGAATACTGTTCTGTAAGGTTTATTTGTAAATCACCATTGTATTTTGGGAGAAGCTGGAGAGTCATAGTCAAGGATAGTACATGGCTGGGTAAACTATATGATAGTCTTCAATGCACAAACCCACCCACCCACCACTAAACACATTAAATATTTTCAAAGTTAATGGAGATGTATACACAAGTAACCATAAGATCTGTTGGCAGTCAGGCCCAAAGGAGTGCCTATCTTCTGATGCTTGCTTGACCCTAGCCAAATATACTTCTCCACCACAGTGGACAAAGAACCACCACACCCAACTAATACCATTAAAACTCACCTTTCATGGAAGCCCATGATTTGCATAGTGGTCCATGAATGAAAATCAGGGAACTTAAGAGTCTGGTCAGTTAATTTATGAGTAAACTAGCATGCAACTCACCACCAGACTGAAAATACAAAACAAGTTGACTGATACAGATGGACTACACATTTTTTCCCTGTAATTTATCTAACTTCCCAAATCAAGGAAGTCAGGAATACCGGTTAGCTGGACTAGAGTCCTGAAGGTGGGAAGAGCAGTGCCTCACTCTGAAGAGGTGAAGATGTTGCAGTCAGAGGGCAATCTGATGGTAATGTCTACATAGTTCTGGAAAGGCAGCTATTTAATAAATGTTGGTGAATGTGTCTTCTTTGGGTCACCCTACCTTGACAGAAGATGACTGTTGAATAATAAAAAAAAAAAAGCTTCTGAAATGAAGTGTAATGTGATACAATGTATTTCATTTTTGTGTGCCAACTAGTAAGTATTTTCAAAAATAGACACAAATAGAATAATGTATACAAGTCAAGCACACATCAGTGTGCTGTACAGAATATCACAAACCCCAACTAAACACTCATTATATTATTACATTTATGGGAGGGGGTGCTAAACCCATAGTGGCCGTACAGTGTTTAGGAGAATGGAAGGCATTCAGACTTGATTTAAGGAACTGGAGCACAGGTTCAATTCCTTGAACATTCACCTCCTTAGATTTTGGAATAACCATATTACATTATTCTTAAAATGAGATGTATAACCAAGAGAAAATGTTTATAGAAAAAACTTTTCATTCATGTTTACTTTTACATGGCAAATAATGTATATACAGGAGAAAATTATTTTTATACCACAAAATTATTTACTGAAAATAGATTGTACTAAAAATTGATGATAGGAAAAGAACCATAGGAAGAAAAACAAATGAACTTATACGCTTGCACCAAACTGACAATCATTAAACATGGAAAGTATAAAATGACTTTGTATGAAGCAGATCACTGTACAGTACACAATGATTTTACCAACTGGATTATCAAACACACAGGAACAAAATACAGTGTACAATAATGTACCAACATGATAATCAACAAACACATTACTGTATATACAACTGTACATGAACTATGATTTTTTTACCATCATACAATGTTTAAGAAGCATATCTAAATCACCTCCAGTATTGACTAAGGAATACCTTACAGCAGCAACATTATTGTAATGAAAAATAAATCATAAGGGAGTGGCTGCAATAGTTCACAATCAGCCCATAATTTGAAGAAGAAACTTTAAATGAGGTTTCAGTTTGTCATGGACTATTATCAGGTCATGAGAGAAAGAGGAAAAAAAGGGTGAAAGGATAAGAGGACCATGAATGGGAGACGTGTCAGGGATACCATGAAAATGAGATCGATGAAAGAGGTCAAAGGAGCTAAGTAATCACGTCAATGCCAACACTACAAGGACCAGGTTCAGTGGCAAAGGTAACACCAAACCCGAGAAGTTCAAGTTGATGGAGGAGAAGTGGGACTTGAAGAAAGATCAGCAATGCAAAAAGTAAGGGAAAATTTGAACTAAGGGCTGTTAGAGATATGACAAATGCAGTTTGTACTGAAATGTAGTAGAATGTTTGTTCAAACACAAGCAGTATCAGTAGCAACAATAGCAAAAAGGTTGCAAATAGCATTGGAAAAAAGGGGTAGAGAGAACACATTAATATTAATCTTTAAGGAGGGTGATGACAGCATCTGTTACTTGGGACTTAGTAGAAAGTATGAACCATTGGAGCAAAAGGCAGGCATGTTCAGGAAAGAGCCTAAGGTGCTCCATTTAAGAAATGAGAAAAGGAAGTGGGCAAAACTTATTCAGCACAGCAGTCTCACTCCTTCCTTGGTGGATGAGAGATAAGAACTGCACTTACTGGGTAACACGAGGGGGTTCAAGGGACATGGGTGGGTCCTTGGTTTGGCTAGTGTGTGTGGGAGTGTTTGTGAACTCATTCACACACACAGTCTCTCTCTCTCTCTCTCTCCTACTCACTCACATATACTCACTTGCATGCACACACAATAAAGGAACAGAAAATAGACAGAATACAGGCAAAACACCAGGCAGGGTTGGATAGAATAGTAGATAGTTGAAAAGATCTTTGACTAACCACTTCCTCCCTCCTTTACCTATCCACATCTTCCACCTACACCATTCGCTTTCACCAGATACTATATTCCATCTCCAACTATCTGTATTCTTCTCCACCACACAGAAGACATCACTTCTGTCCTCTTCCCTACCTACTCACATCATCCATACATAATCCATGCCAACCCAGGAACCTAACCATGCCCCATACATCCCCCTCCCCTTCACCACCCAATAAGGAAGATCCCATATCCCATCCACCACAGTAGAAAAGACACCTTCCTTACCTTCAGGATGGAAGACTCCAGAATATTACCAGAGCTCTTCATAACGGAAACATGACTTAAGTTGCTAAATGTAAAATAATTTCTAATGAATCAGAAAATTATTTACTGTACAATGTTTTTCTTTTCTGCAAACACTGCCCATACATTAGCTATGATTATTTTAATACAAAATATTCTCATCTTTAAAACCGAAGATAAGCTAAAATGTTACATTTGTTTTTGTCATCCATTATAATATGAAGAATTCCTCAGTATCTATAGCAAAGCTATTTATTTTCATAAGATAATAGTATAAAAAATATCGATATTCAGAATGCTTGCATAATGCACTATAAGCATCATCTGTTCTGAAAATGGGTACTGCTTGCCATAACAGTAAGTGAAGTGGAAATAAAGTGAATATAAATATGTTTGCATTTAAAAAGATCAAAAGTGGTATCAACATTAACGTTAGTTGTATCACATTTACAACTAAAATAGTTAGAATAAATCCAAGAACAACTATAACTTTCAAGGGATAAGAATGTTCAGTAGTTTTGGCTAAACCTATGTAATACGTATATAGCTGAATTTAAAAGCTATACCACCTATATCCCCAGTGTTCATTTTATAACTGAATTCCTTTAAATAATCCATTATGACACAGTATCTAAATATGCATGTAAAGTTCACTTACTAGAATTTACCAAAGTTTGGTAAAAGATTTGGTAGTCTTGTATATTTTCTTGTTGATCAAATTAAGCAAAACTAAATTAGCATATAAAAGAAAGGGAGCAATACACAACATTATAAGACATGATACTCTAGATAAACATCAACGTGTTTTTATAATTTCAGCAAGTCAGTTTTGCTTCAAACTGGTCTACAATTGTCATAAGTATCTTTCTTCTTTCAACACACCAGCCGTATCCCACCGAGGTGGGGTGGCCCAAAAGGAAAAACAAAAGTTTCTCCTTTCATATTTAGTAATATATACAGGAGAAGGGGTTACTAGCCCCTTGCTCCTGGCATTTTAGTCGCCTCTTACAACACGCATAGCTTACGGAGGAAGAATTCTGTTCCACTTCCCCATGGAGATAAGAGGAAATAAACAAGAACAAGAGCTAGTAAGAAAATAGAAGAAAACCCAGAGGGGTGTGTATACATATGCTTGTACATGTATGTGTAGTGTGACCTAAGTGTAAGCAGCAGTAGCAAGACGTACCTGAAACCTTGCATGTTTATGAGACAGAAAAAACACCAGCAATCCTACCATCGTGTAAAACAATTACAGGCTTACGTTTTACACTCACTTGGCAGGACGGTAGTACCTCCCTGGGCGGTTGCTGTCTACCAACCTACTACCTATATGTCATAAGTATGTATGTCATTAAATATTTGTATAGCTATGTACATGTGTGTAGATATTTAAATATCTGTATTAGTATCTGTTTATGTAGTGTAACTATATATGTATATACAATTATATGTGCACAGATTTTATTGTGCTCAAGTATAATACTTAGTGTACAAATTTATATAGTATTTTAAACAAATTAAACATGTAGAGTCCTATTAAGTGGGAGGCATTTAATGTGATATTTAAAGTTAAATACATGTACTGCATTATTTTTTGAGCTTACTGTACTCTGAGAAAGAACGTTTCCAACGTAATCAATAGATTTTAGCATTGTTTTTAGATTAACCAAACATGAATGATTCTGCATTAAGAGCAAATGATAATAATTGTAATGATTATAGTGAAAATTCAAAGTTCTTTATCCTGATATATGTAGTATGCCTGGATTCTCAGCAAGTACGATATATTTAAGAGGTCTCAACTTTCTATTTTATCACCAATTTTCCCTATAGTTAAAATTTGTGTAGTTAAAAGGTAAGGCTTTGTCAAGTGTTTCACAAGCAGTAATATCATATATAAGGTTCTGGCTGTGATATGGTCAGTTTCTTTAAATGATGACGCTATGTATTATTTTTCAGAAAGTTCAAGAACAAATTTGTGTGCATGTGTGTTGGGGATTCTAAAAATAATTGCAACAAACAAATATTATTCAAAGTAACAAATATATTTCAAAAATCAATGTTTGGAAGCTGCAAAGTTATCAAAAGTTTTTAGAATCAGCATTAATTTGCATATTCCTAAACTTTACCTAAGCATTAAATAAATAATATCCTCAGGGAAAATCTTGCTATATTACTTTTTAATATTCTGGTGTACAATCAATATCAGCTCACATGATAAAATTGGATACAAAAAGTGAGAACTGTAGCCACTCATAAATGTGTAAAAGTATGGGTCAAGATGATATACTATACAACAAATCATGGTATGTGGACAAAACACATGTTAAGTAAATGGAGAGCAGAGGTTTCAATTAAATTGTCTTGTGGAAATTATTATTATTATAATCAAAAAGACTTGTGGAAAAATGTACTACAGATTTATCATTAATTATGAGTTAAATTTTGTCCTAAAATTAGATTAGCATTCTCAGTGGCAGCTAAAATTTATGTCTTAATAACCTGCACTTTGGAAAGACGTTTTAAATTTTGAGTACTAACCCCCTTTTTTCCCCCTAAAAAAAATTAAATATTTTCAAAACACAAAAAAAGTAATAAAAAACACCATGCAAAAAAGCACCAGCAGCAATCTTTGAAAAAGTTGATCGCTGTTCAGATACTGAGCATCTTGATTTATTTTTTTGGACATAATAAAAACCCAGATCCCTTTGTCTCCAAATCTAAAAGAAATTAATTAATGAGTCATCACTAAATTATATCAGAGGGAATGCTAAATCTGCAGGCAGTGGCTACAATAACATACAGAATGCATTTTATAAAAAATTTGCATAAGTTTATCATATTTGTAAATGTAAACCTACATTGGATTATGGCTAAAAAATATATGCTATGGTTTGGTGGACACCTAGTATTTAATTTTTTAAAGTTGGGGGAAAACCCTAGGTAGTAGTTGGTAGACGCAACCCCCCAGGGAGTACTACCGCCCGCCAAGTGAGTGTAAAAGAAACCCGTATTTTTTTACATGTGGTAGGTTTGCTGGTGTCCATTTTTCTGCCTCTAAACATGCAAGGTTTCAATTACGTCTTGCTACTTCACTTACACTTAGTCCACACACTAATGTAAAGCATATATAAACACCCCCTGGGTTTTTTTATTTTTTACTAGTTCTTTTTCTTGTTTTTTTCCTCTTCCCTCCAGGGGAAGTGGAACAGAATTTTCCCTTGTAAGCCAGTGTGTTTTTTAAGAGGGATAAAATGCCGGGAGCAAAAGGTGAAACCCCCTTCCCTGTATATATTAACTAAAGGTGCAAGCGCACCTCTGTGCCTTGCTCTCCTCTGTGGCCCCTAGTCCCTTGCGTGCCCCCCTTCCTTTGTTTTTGACCGGCTCGCCCTCCTTATTCCCCACTTCTACATACCACTACACTACCTCTTCTATATACACTAATGAGATTAAGACACTGTGCGGCGTTGGGTGTCTTTGTTGTGGACTTTGCTATCAGTGGCTGCTGGATGGCGAAACGTTCGATAGGATGCCCGGGGGTTTCGATTGTCTTAATTTCATCTTGTCGGATTTTATACCCTTCTTTTACTACTACTCCTAACCACCACCCCTTTTGCCTTATATACCGTCCCGCTCCACTTCTGGGTTTTGTGACTTTGTAAATGGTCCAAATCGGGCCGAAACGTTCCTGTAAGCTTCTCTCTTTTTGTGCGGGTTGTTTGTGGTTCCCGTCATGGTATTGTGCCTTTTTTTGTTATTTATGTAAGTGTATTTATGTAAGTGCATTTGTATGTGTATGTTTGGGGGTCTGAAATGGACTAATCTAATTCACAATATTCCTTATGGGAACAAATTCGGTCAGTACTGGCACCTGAACATACTTCTGGAATGAAATAATATCGTAAACCGGGGATCCACTGTTTTAACAAATCATCTAGGTAGTAGGTTGGTAGACAGCAACCGCCCAGGGAGGTACTACCGTCCTGCCAAGTGAGTGTAAAACGAAAGCCTGTAATTGTTTTACATGATGGTAGGATTGCTGGTATCCATTTTTCTGTCTCATGAACAGGCAAGGTTTCAGGTAGGTCTTGCTACTTCTACTTATACTTAGGTTACACTACACATACATGTACAAGCATATATATACACACCCCTCTGGGTTTTCTTCTATTTTCTTACTAGTTCTTGTTCTTGTTTATTTCCTCTTATCTCCATGGGAAAGTGGAACAAAATTCTTCCTCCGTAAGCTATGCGTGTTGTAAGGCGACTAAAATGCCAGGAGCAAGGGGCTAGTAACCCCTTCTCCTGTATAGATTACTAAATTTAAAAAGAGAAACTTTCGTTTTTCTTTTTGGGCCATCTTGCCTTGGTGGGATACAGCCGGTTTGTTGAAAAAAAAAAAAATTAACAAATCGGTCATTTCCCACCAAGGCAGGGTGGCCCGAAAAAGAAAAACTTTCATCATCATTCACTTTATCACTGCCCTGCCAGAGGCATGCTTACACTACAGTTATAAAACTGCAACATTAACACCCCTCCTTCAGAGTGCAGGCACTGTACTTCCCATCTCCAGGACTCAAGTCCGGCTTGCAGGTTTCCCTGAATCCCTTCATAAATGTTACCTTGCTCACACTCCACTTGCATTAATCTTTAAGAATTTAATGTGAAAATTTAAGGTATCAACTTAAATAACTGAACTACTGTATTCTAAATTATATTTTCCTAAACCTCATAACCCCTTTTCCAGGTAGATCAACATATCTATCTAATCAGGGACAGCTCCAGACACTCTACGTAAGAGGGGCTTATGAGTGGCAATCTGATTGGGAGAGGGTGCATCATCATTATTATTTTTTTAACACACCGGCCATCTCCCACCAAGGTAGGAAGACCCAAAAGAAGAAACACTTTTACTATCATTCACTTGATCAGTCTTGCCATAGATGTGCTGATACTACAGTTCAGATGCTCCTCCAAACTGCAAATATCTCCATCATCTTCAGAGTGCAGACATTATACTTCCCACCTCCAGGATTCAAGTCCGGTTAACCGGATTCCTTGAATCCTTTCAGAAATGTCACCTTTCACAAATTCAAACAGCTCATCGAGTCCCATAACCACTTGCCACCATTCACTTCCATCCAACATGTTCACACATGCCTGCTGGATGTTCAAGTCCCTTGCAAACAAAAGCCTGCTTTACCCTCTCCCTCCAAACTTTCCTAGGGCAACCCTCACCTCCTCTCTCCCTCCACTGCAGATCCACACACCCTCCAAGTCATCCTATTTTGCTCCATCCATTGGGGATTTGGGGGGAAGAGGGTGATAAAATTTTGTGGGGCAGCTCTTCAACTCCTCTACCCTCTCTCCCTTTGGCACTGCTACTACTGACTTCAACATAAATCAGTACATAAGGTTGCATATAATAAGTACAGTAAAAGTGCATTATGTTCTTACCTGAGAGAGTAGCACCTCGCTGCAATACATCATCAATATTATCCATCATGATTCTTTGCACATCATTCAAGTCTTCTCTCAATTGATGCAAATGACGCCTTCCACGCTGATCACTGTATTGCCGACGAAGCTTCTGGATGTATGTATCTAATGTAAACAATTATATTTTACTATGGAGACAAAAAGTTTCAATAATTTTAAAGAAACTGGTTCAAACAGTTTATATATGACTTTAAAAAGTGTTACCCTGAACCTCATTGTTTATGTCTTGGTGGCTTGAAACTGTAACTTTAACCAGAATCCTGCATTCAGCTTCATGTCAGGGCTGCCAAAATGAGTCAAACTGAACATTTTTATGGTTTTAGAAAACAAATTCCATAAATTTTACAGCATGAAATATTTACATAAATTTTTTCACAAAGTCCAGAAACTTCCACACAGTACAACACTTCACTTTATATAAATATTAATTTAAAAATGTTACTGTTTGGGTGTTATTTTTCCAATATTTATCTTGCAGGTTAGTTATTTCCAAATAGTTTGTAGCAAGATTTTTCCACATTAATTTGCTTAAGTAATTTTATTAAGTTTAGTGTTAAATACTGTTTTAGGCAAATTTTAATCTGATAATTATTGCAATTGAGATCAAATCATCAATATTTAGTCAACTGATTGAGTAATTATCTTAGGGCAATTTTTTTTGGCAGATACAGTACTAAGATAAAGAATACTGCAGACAGTTGTATAGAATAAAGGAAACTACAGAGAAAACAGTATATTTGTGGATGATAATATGCTGTCTACCAACCTACTAATAGGTAGTAGGTTGGTAGACAGCAACCACCCAGGGAAGTACTACCGTCCTGCCAGATGACTGTGAAACAGAAACCTGTAACTGTTTTGCATGATGGTAGGATTGCTGGTTTCTTTTTCTGTCTCATAAACACGTTAGATAACAGGGATATCTTGCTACTCCTACTTACACTTTGGTCACACTTCACAGACATGCACATGCATATATATATATATATACATACATCTAGGTTTTTCTCCTTTTTCTAAATAGCTCTTGTTCTTCTTTATTTCTTCTATTGTCCATGGGGATGTGGAAAAGAATCTTTCCTCCGTAAGCCATGCGTGTCGTATGAGGCGACTAAAATGCCGGGAGCAATGGGCTAGTAACCCCTTCTCCTGTAGACATTTACTAAAAAAGAGAAGAAGAAAACTTTATAAAACTGGGATGCTTGAATGTGTGTGGATGTAATGCGGATGACAAGAAACAGATGATTGCTGATGTTATGAATGAAAAGAAGTTGGATGTCCTGGCCCTAAGCGAAACAAAGCTGAAGGGGGTAGGGGAGTTTCGTGGGGGGAAATAAATGGGATTAAATCTGGAGTATCTGAGAGAGTTAGAGCAAAGGAAGGGGTAGCAGTAATGTTGAAGGATCAGTTATGGAAGGAGAAAAGAGAATATGAATGTGTAAATTCAAGAATTATGTGGATTAAAGTAAAGGTTGGATGCGAAAAGTGGGTCATAATAAGTCTATGCACCTGGAGAAGAGAGGAATGCAGAGGAGTGAGGAGATTTTGGAAGATGTTAAGTGAATGTATAGGAGCCTTTGAACCAAGTGAGAGAGCAATTGTGGTAGGGGACCTGAATGCTAAAGTAGGAGAAACTTTTAGAGAGGGTGTGGTAGGTAAGTTTGGGGTGCCAGGTGTAATGATAATGGGAGCCCTTTGATTGAACTTTGTATAGAAAGGGGTTTAGTTATAGGTAATACATATTTTAAGAAAAAGAGGATAATAAGTATACAAGATATGATGTAGGGCGAAATGACAGTAGTTTGTTGGATTATGTATTGGTAGATAAAAGACTGTTGAGTAGACTTCAGGATGTACATGTTTATAGAGGGGCCACAGATATATCAGATCACTTTCTAGTTGTAGCTACACTGAGAGTAAAGGTTAGATGGGATACAAGGAGAGTAGAAGTATCAGGGAAGAGAGAGGTGAAGGTTTATAAACTAAAGAGGAGGCAGATAGGGTAAGATATAAACAGCTATTGGAGGATAGATGGGCTAATGAGAGCATAGGCAATGGGGTCGAAGAGGTATGGGGTAGGTTTAAAAATGTAGTGTTAGAGTGTTCAGCAGAAGTTTGTGGTTACAGGAAAGTGGGGTGTGGGAGGGAAGAGGAGCGATTGGTGTATGGGTGATGTAAAGAGAGTAGTAAGGGAGAAAAAATTAGCATATGAGAAGTTTTTACAAAGTAGAAGTGATGCAAGGAGGGAAGAGTATATGGAGAAAAAGAGAGAGGTTAGGAGAGTGGTGAAGCAATGTAAAGAGAGAGCAAATGAGAGAGTGGGTGAGATGTTATCAACAAATTTTGTTGAAAATAAGAAAAAATTTTGGAGTGAGATTAACAAGTTAAGGAACCCTAGAGAACAAATGGATTTGTCAGTTAAAAATAGGAGTGGAGAGTTATTAAATGGAGAGTTAGAGGTACTGGGAAGATGGAGGGAATATTTTGAGGAATTGTTAAATGTTGATGAAGATAGGGAAGCTGTGATTTCGTGTATAGGGCAAGGAGGAATAACATCTTGTAGGAGTGAGGAAGAGCCAGTTGTGAGTGTGGGGGGAAGTTCGTGAGGCAGTAGGTAAAATGAAAGGGGGTAAGGCAGCCGGGATTGATGGGATAAAGATAGAAATGTTAAAAGCAGGTGGGGATATAGTTTTGGAGTGGTTGGTGCAATTATTTAATAAATGTATGGAAGAGGGTAAGGTACCTAGGGATTGGCAGAGAGCATGCATAGTTCCTTTGTATAAAGGCAAAGGGGACAAAAGAGAGTGCAAAAATTATAGGGGGATAAGTCTGTTGAGTTCTAGGTAGTCGGTTGGTAGACAGCAACCGCCCAGGGAGGTACTACCGTCCTGCCAAGTGAGTGTAAAACGAAAGCCTGTAATTGTTTTACATGATGGTAGGATTGCTGGTGTCCTTTTTTCTGTCTCATAAACATGCAAGATTTCAGGTATGTCTTGCTACTTCTACTTACACTTAGGTCACACTACACATGCATGTACAAGCATATATATGTATATATACACATCCCTCTGGGTTTTCTTCTATTTTCTTTCTAGTTCTTGTTGTTGTTTATTTCCTCTTATCTCCATGGGGAAGTGGAACAGAATTCTTCCTCCGTAAGCCATGTGTGTTGTAAGAGGCGACTAAAATGCCAGGAGCAAGGGGCTAGTAACCCCTTCTCCCGTATAAATTACTAAATTTAAAAAGAGAAACTTTCGTTTTTCTTTTTGGGCCACCCTGCCTTGGTGGGATACGGCCGGTTTGTTGAAAAAAAAAAAAAAAAAAAAGTCTGTTGAGTATACCTGGTAAAGTGTATGGTAGAGTTATTATTGAAAGAATTAAGAGTAAGACGGAGAATAGGATAGCAGATGAACACGGAGGCTTTAGGAAAGGTAGAGGGTGTGTGGACCAGGTGTTTACAGTGAAACATATAAGTGTTTAGATAAGGCTAAAGAGGTCTTTGTGGCATTTATGTATTTGGAAAAGGCGTATGACAGGGTGGATAGGGGGGCAATGTGGCAGATGTTGCAGGTGTATGGTGTAGGAGGTAGGTTACTGAAAGCAGTGAAGAGTTTTTACGAGGATAGTGAGGCTCAAGTTAGAGTATGTAGGAAAGAGGGAAATTATTTCCCAGTAAAAGTAGGCCTTAGACAAGAATGTGTGATGTCACCGTGGTTGTTTAATATATTTATAGATGGGGTTGTAAGAGAAGTAAATGCGAGGGTCTTGGCAAGAGGCGTGGAGTTAAAAGATAAAGAATCACACAAAGTGGGAGTTGTCACAGTTGCTCTTTGCTGATGACACTGTGCTCTTGGGAGATTCTGAAGAGAAGTTGCAGAGATTGGTGGATGAATTTGGTAGGGTGTGCAAAAGAAGAAAATTAAGTGAATACAGGAAAGAGTAAGGTTATGAGGATAACAAAAAGATTAGGTGATGAAAGATTGGATATCAGATTGGAGGGAGAGAGCATGGAGGAGGTGAATGTATTCAGATATTTGGGAGTGGACGTGTCAGCGGATGGGTCTATGAAAGTGAGGTGAATCATAGAATTGATGAGGGGAAAAGGGTGAGTGGTGCACTTAGGAGTCTGTGGAGACAAAGAGGGGAATGTATGAGAGTATAGTTTTACCAACGCTCTTATATGGGTGTGAAGCATGGGTGATGAATGTTGCAGCGAGGAGAAGGCTGGAGGCAGTGGAGATGTCATGTCTGAGGGCAATGTGTGGTGTGAATATAATGCAGAGAATTCGTAGTTTGGAAGTTAGCAGGAGGTGCGGGATTACCAAAACTGTTGTCCAGAGGGCTGAGGAAGGGTTGTTGAGGTGGTTCGGACATGTAGAGAGAATGGAGCGAAACAGAGTGACTTCAAGAGTGTATCAGTCTGTAGTGGAAGGAAGGTGGGGTAGGGGTTGGCCTAGGAAAGGTTGGAGGGAGGGGGTAAAGGAGGTTTTGTGTGAGGGGCTTGGACTTCCAGCAGGCATGCGTGAGCGTGTTTGATAGGAGTGAATGGAGACAAATGGTTTTTAATACTTGACGTGCTGTTGGAGTGTGAGCAAAGTAATATTTATGAACGGGTTCAGGGAAACCGGCAGGCCGGACCTGAGTCCTGGAGATGGGAAGTACAGTACCTGCACTCTGAAGGAGGGCTGTTAATGTTGCAGTTTAAAAACTGTAATGTGAAGCACCCTTCTGGCAAGACAGTGATGGAGTGAATGATGGTGAAAGTTTTTCTTTTTCGGGCCACCCTGCCTTGGTGGGAATCGGCCAGTGTGATAATAAAAAAATAATTAAAAAAATATGCAGCATAAGAAATAAAATATGGCAAGTTAGAGTTAAAACTACTGGGTACAAGAAATTTATAAAGACTGAAACAGAATAGATAACACAACATACAGTTTACTCCTAAATATAAAGATATTCCTTTTAAGAGATAACTTAAGTAACATACAAAAATAATTTATTAATTAGCCTCTTAAAATCTACTTGCATAAAACAATTAGCAACATACCAAACTCAATGCACGAATAAGGTCTAGTTGCTTGTGATACTTTCCGACCATGCTGAGTTGTAAATTCTGAAGACATTTCTTCTAGAAAGGTAAAAGCAGTCTTTTTGCTGTACCCTCTCTCACATAGTATCAAATGACAAGCTTCATTCTCAATAAGATAGCTGAAATAATTATGTATCATTAGTAATAGGCAATGATGTGTGTGTATGTTAAAGTGAAGGATGAGGAAGATTTAAGTGCAGAGAATTCTTTATTGGCACACAAATATATGATACAGTATACAAGTCCATGTTTGCATGTTGGAGTGTGATTATACCTCTATTTCTTTTTTATGTGTTATATACACAAATAACCTGCACATAAAAGAGAGAAGCTTACGACGACGTTTCGGTCCGACTTGGACCATTTACGAAGTCACACTAACCAGAAGTGAAGCAGGACAGCTATATATAGGTGTTATATGTATGAAGCCTGTTTGGTGTTTCAAATATTTGCATACAGTATTATTATATATTTAAGAGATATCTACATGTGCATCTGCATACTGTGTAGTATATGCAAGGCATTAGTGTCAAGTATCACTTGGACAATCAGGTTAATCACTTTAGTCTGACAAGTAACTGATATGCAGGAATCCATGTAATTTTCACACATAAGGAACACTGTTTGTGGGACAAACAGTGACAGATATACAAGCCACTGCTTAAAGTTTGGAAAGAGCACCAGCTAGCAGCATCTTGCATGCACACAATCTGATTCACATAAAACTGTCATATTATATGATACTGTATTTATATGTACATAAAATCACACAAAAATAAACAAATTTTAAGTTTTTTACCTAAATCATTAGTTAACTTTAACAGTAAGTGAGTGTGGGAAAAGTGCATGTGGCAGTGAGTAGAATGAAAGAAGGTAAAGCAGCTGGGATTGATGGGATAAAAATAGAAATGTTAAAAGCAGGTGGGGATATAGTTTTGGAGTGGTTAGTGTTTTTATTTAACCCTTTCAGGGTCCGTCCCGTAGATCTACGGCTTTGCGTTCAGTGTCCAAACCGTAGATCTACGTCATGAGCTCAGCTCACTCTGATAAACTGTGAGTGGTACACTTGGGCCTAGATATGAGAGAATACATCTATGTGGTATGTGTGCACCACATAAAACAAATCCTGCAGCACACTGTGTATAATGAGAGAAAAAAAAACTGAAACCAAGATTATCGATTAAAACAGCAACTTTGCAGTGTTTTTTCGTATGTTTTTTATAGTTGTATTTGAAATTTCTTGGTCTCATTTGATAGAATGGAAGACATATTACATAAATAGAGATGATTTTGATTGGTTTTAGCACCGGAAATGGCTTGAAACTGAGCTCAAAGTAGCGGAAATGTTAAATTTTTGTCGATGTTCAAGAGTAAACAAACGACCTCACACGTCTAATACACGCCAGCTGGTGGATCTAATACACATTCACAAATGTGGTGATGATATTTATACAATTATTACAATATTGCATAGCAGTAAATCTTCTATTTTTTGGTGTGAATAAAAATTCATTATGTAAATAAAAAATAAAAATGGGATTTATTTGTAAAGCCTCAAAACGTAACTAATGAACCGAGGAAATGTTAGTTTAGTGCCAGGAATGCCTACATTGTTTATTCTGGATGCTATTTTGAAATTGGAATATTTTGAACTTTGTGTTAAATTGGCCAAATTACCAATTTCCGATCACTTTATTTTGTAGTTGAAACAGTTGACTTGGCGATTTCTTGTGCTCAATCGATAGAATAGAAGTAATACTAGTAAAATAGCTAAGAATTTGGTCGACTGGAATGATGTAATTGGCCTAGAATGGAAGTCGAAGTCGGCAAAATCGCCGATTCGATAAATATCGCTGACACATCAAAATTCGCGAGAGCATAATTTCGTCAATTTTCCATCAAATTTCGTACTTTTTGTTTTATTACCTTCGCAAAAAGATTCTCTACCATTTCATAAGAAAAAATAACAAATTTTTTTTTTTGGAAAATTCTTGGACACTGGGGCACCACTTCAGATTTGGGCCTTGGACCCTGAAGGGGTTAATAAATGTATGGAAGAGGGTAAGGTACCTAGGATTGGAAGAGAGCATGCAAAGTTCCTTTGTATAAAGGCAAAGGGGACAAAACAGTGTAAAAATTATAGGGGAATAAGTCTATCGAGTCTCCATGGGGAAGTGAAACAGGATTCTTCCTCTGCAAGCGATGTGTTCATAAGAGGTGACTCAAATGCTGGGAGCAAGGGGCTAGTAACCCCCTTCTCCTGTATACATTACTAAAGCTGAAATGAGAAACTTTTTTTTTTCTTTTTGGGTCACCCTGCTTCGATGGGATACAGCCGGTTTGTTGAAAGAAGAGAGTCTATAGAATATACCTGGTAAAGTTTATGGTAGAGTTATTACTGAAAGAATTAAGAGTAAGACAGAAAGCAGGATAGCAGATGAACAAGGAGGCTTTTGGAAGGGTACAGGGTGTGTAGACTAAGTGTTTGCAGTGAAGCATATAGGTGAACAGTATGTACAATATATAAGGGTAAAGAGTTTTTTGTGGCATTTATGGATTTGGAAAAGGCATATGATAGGGTGGATAGGGGGGCAATGTGGCAGATGTTGCAAATGTATGGAATAGGAGGTAGGTTATTGAAAGCGGTGAAAAGTTTTTACGGGGGAGATTATTTCCTAGTAAGAGCAGGCCTTAGACAGGGATATGTGATGTCACCATGGTTGCTCAATATACTTGTAGATGGAGTTGTAAGAGAAGTGAATGCTCAGGTGTTGGCAAGAGGTGTGGGGTTAAAAGATAAAGAATCTAACACAAAGTGGGAGCTGTCACTGTTGCTCTTTGCTGATGACACTGTGCATCTGGGAGATTCTGAAGAGAAGTTGCAGAGGTTGGTTGATGAGTTTGGTAGGGTATGTAAAAGAAGGAAATTAAAAGTGAATAATGGAAAGAGTAAGGTGATGAGGATCACATAAAAATTAGGTAAATGAAGATTGGATATCAGATTGGAGGGAGAGAGTATGGAGGAGGTGAATCTGTTCATATATTTGGGAGTGAACCTGTCAGCAGATGGGTCTATGAAGGATGAGGTGAATCATAGAGTTGACAAGGAGAAAAAGGTGAGTGGTGCACTGAGAAATCTGTGGAAACAAAGAACTTTATTCATAAAAGCAAAGAGGGGAATGTATAAGTATAGTTATACCAATGCTCTTGTATGGGTGTTAGGCATGGGTTGTGAATGTTGCAACAAGAAGGCTGGAGGCAGTGGAGATGTCATGTCTGAGAGTAATGTGTGGTATGAATATAATGCAGAGAATCCGTAGTTTGGAGATTAGGAGGTGTGGGATTACCAAAACTATTATCCAGAGGGCTGAGGAGGGGTTACTGAGATGGATTGGACATGTAGAGATGGAATGAAATAGAATGGCTTCGAGTGTATAAATCTGTAGTGGAGGGAAGGCGAGGTAAGTGTCGGCCTAGGAAAGGCTGGAGGGAGGGGGTAAAAGAGGTTTTGTGTGAGAGGGGCTTGGACTTCCAGCAGGCGTGCACGAGTGTGTTAGATAGGAGAAAATGGAGACAAATGGTTTTTAGGACTTGATGTGCTGTTGGAGTGTAAGCAAGGTAACATTTATGAAGGGAATCAGTGAAACTGGCAGGCCATACTTGATTCCTGGAGATGGGAAGTACAGTGCCAGCACTCTGAAGGAGGGGTGTTAATGTTGCAGTTTTATAACTGTAGTGTAAGCATGCCTCTGGCAAGACAGTGATAGAGTGAATGATGATGAAAGTTTTTCTTTTTTGGACCACCCTGCCTTGGTGGGAAATGGCTGGTGTTAATAATAAAAAAAATAATTAAATATAAATTTAAATAGACAAAGTATTAATTTGTTATGTCAACAGTGAAACCAGTATTAGATTCAAGAGAATCAACATCCTTGGTACTTACTGGAAGACATAAGGACCTGTTTCTATAGAGCATTTGGTTGGGCTGTTGACTGTGATTTTCTTGAAAAGCATTTTAGCTTGGTTCTGATATTCCACAAGACTCCTACCAGACTGAAATAACCAATTACAAACACATTATAACAATCATATTAAAATAATAACTACTATGCATTTATCTTTCCATAACTTGTTTAGCTTCCTTTATAATATATAAATATTAAGAACCTGGGGAATAGAAGGTAATGAGGTTTGATCCAAGCAAGGAGAGGATAGTTCCAATTCACTGAATTAGGAGCCCTAAACCAAAATCAAGGCACCCTACTTAAATTTATTATTATTATTATTATTATTTAGGAAATGCTAAACCTGTAGGGCTCATACAGCACCTAGGGAATGGGAAGCAATCAGGACTGATCCAAGGAAATGAACAGTATGTTCAGTTCTTTGGATTAAGAGCCTCTTACCAGCATCAAGGAAGAGATCCAGTTAAAGGGAATATGCATAGCACTGGATTAAGTTTAATTATACTATAAATAACGACTGTTCTTGGCAATTGCTATTGTTATCTCTATTTATATTCAATGATTAACTTTGTACATCTGGGGAAAAAGTCATATGACTTAATTCAGTGCCTTGTGCTTCTGGAAAATAAATAAGTAATTTTATTCAGGTATAGGTACACATAAATACAGTTACATAAATTATCATACATAGCAACATATGTGTAGATTACATAGGATACCCAAAGAAAGTCAGACAAAGTGACTTATTTCCACTGGGGTCCCTGTAATATCTTATTCCTTAAATCTTAAAAGTTAAAACAGTTAAGTAACTCAACTAAGTGAAATGCAGTTACAATGAAAGGAGATATACAAAGAATAGGGTAAACCGAGTTATTTATATTAACATTACACAGAGGATCAGATCACAGTAATTAAACAAGCTTAATTATAGCTTAAAAATGAGAGGTATTTTTATAGACTGCTGTACTTTTTACTTTTTACAACTATTTAATTTCTATCATTGCTGCATTAAGATAAAGATTATAAAGACATAAAATAGTGATAGACTATGAATATAAAGCAAATAACCAAAAAGGATAAATATTATGGAAAAAAAATTCCATCTGGGATCCTCAGCAACTGGGGGTCGGTGGCCCCTCACCTGCTCGTCATCCTGCAGGGACGCAGCCAGGGGCAGCCCATCAGACGCCCTGGCTATCATCACCATCAAAACCATGACTGTGGGCCAGAGAATATGTGAAGGGGATGCCACAACCCAGCACTTCCCTGGCTCTCACTCTCAGCTGTGATGTTTAATAAACCCGGATGATGAAGGCTCACTCTGGCCACAACCTACACTCTACACACCTCATACACTCGCTTTCTTACATAAATATATTTAAATCTACTTTGAAAACTTGGAAAATTAAATTCGAAGCTCATATACAGACACTCATGTATATATTGTAGCATTTGTAATTGTAAGATTCAACCCTGCGTGAGCTGGAAGTATTAAGGTTTAGATGATGTGTCGTTCACTCGTCAGAGTAACGTGGAACCATGACACTTGTAATAATAATAAATAATAATAATAATAATAATAATAATAATAATAATAATAATAATAATAATAATAATAATAATAATAATAATCTCATGTTTTGTTTGGGTAAAGTGTATTTGTATTGTGTAGTCATAATCTTTTTAATTTAATGTATGTTTGAATAAGATAAGGTAAGATAAGATAAGATTTCGTTCGGATTTTTAACCCCGGAGGGTTAGCCACCCAGGATAACCCAAGAAAGTCAGTGCGTCATCGAGGACTGTCTAACTTATTTCCATTGGGGTCCTTAATCTTGTCCCCCAGGATGCGACCCACACCAGTCGACTAACACCCAGGTACCTATTTGCTGCTAGGTGAACAGGACAACAGGTGTAAGGAAACGTGTCGAAATGTTTCCACCCGCCGGGAATCGAACCCGGGCCCTCCGTGTGTGAAGCGGGAGCTTTAGCCACCAGGCCACCGGGCCAAATAACTTATGTATGTCTTATGTACACAAAGTTTTAAATAAAAAAAGGAATATTTATTATCCTTGAGGATACATTTGTGTCACAGAGATTCGTATACATTAACTTTCCTACATGGAAAAGTCCATGGAAATGCAAAACATTTCACACAATAATACTGAGTATGTAGGCCCTGGCTATGCAGCTCATTTCAGGCATACTAATAACTCTATTTAGGAACAGGTACACATAACTACAATCATCATACACTGTAAAATACCTAGTTCAATCCCCTAAAAAATGTCAAAGTGACTTATTTCCATTGGGTATTCGTTATCTTCTTCCATAACAGCTACATCTGCTCTCATTTCTCACTCAGTGATTAATCATAACCACATTTTTTAAATGGGTGGACCGGTAAGCCAGCGGAAGGCCTCGGTCAGATGGCCAGAAGCTAAGACCCACGTCAGAAAACAGTTGTCCTGATTCCTAACGAACCTGACCTAACCTATCATTTCTCACTATGTAAAAACTATGCATTATATGGAAATAAAGTATTTATATATCCATTCATTTATTTGATTTAAAAACCCTTTTATAAATACAATAATGATGAATGTTGTGTAGTGATGAATGTTGTGTAGTTTACCTGGAGAGAGTTCCGGGGGTCAACGCCCCCGCGGCCCGGTCTGTGACCAGGCCTCCTGGTGGATCAGAGCCTGATCAACCAGGCTGTTGCTGCTGGCTGCACGCAAACCAACGTACGAGCCACAGCCCGGCTGGTCAGGAACCGACTTTAGGTGCTTGTCCAGTGCCAGCTTGAAGACTGCCAGGGGTCTATTGGTAATCCCCCTTATGTGTGCTGGGAGGCAGTTGAACAGTCTCGGGCCCCTGACACTTATTGTATGGTCTCTTAACGTGCTAGTGACACCCCTGCTTTTCATTGGGGGGATGTTGCATCGTCTGCCAAGTTTTTTGTTTTCGTAGTGAGTGATTTTCGTGTGCAAGTTCGGTACTAGTCCCTCTAGGATTTTCCAGGTGTATATAATCATGTATCTCTCCCGCCTGCGTTCCAGGGAATACAGGTTCAGGAACCTCAAGCGCTCCCAGTAATTGAGGTGTTTTATCTTCGTTATGCGCGCCGTGAAGGTTCTCTGTACATTTTCTAGGTCAGCAATTTCACCTGCCTTGAAAGGTGCTGTTAGTGTGCAGCAATATTCCAGCCTAGATAGAACAAGTGACCTGAAGAGTGTCATCATGGGCTTGGCCTCCCTAGTTTTGAAGGTTCTCATTATCCATCCTGTCATTTTTCTAGCAGATGTGATTGATACAATGTTAAGGTCCTTGAAGGTGAGATCCTCCGACATGATCACTCCCAGGTCTTTGACGTTGGTGTTTCGCTCTATTTTGTGGCCAGAATTTGTTTTGTACTCTGATGAAGATTTAATTTCCTCGTGTTTACCATATCTGAGTAACTGAAATTTCTCATCATGTGTAGTGATGAATGCTGTGCAGTGATGGCTGTGTAGTGATGAATGTTGTGTAGTGATGGATGTTGTGTAGTGATGGATGTTGTGTAGTGATGGATGTTGTGTAGTGATGGTTGTGTATTGATGGATTAATGGATGTTCTGTTGTGATGGATGTTGTGTAGTTGATAAATGTTGTGTAGTGATGATTGTGTAGTGATGAATGTTATGTAGTGATGGATGTTGTCAGTGATGGTTGTATAGTGATGGATGTTGTCAGTGATGGTTGTGTAATGATGGTTGTGTAGTGATGAATGTTGTGCAGTGATGGTTGTGTACTGATGAATGTTGTGTAGTGATGGATGTTGTGTAGTTGATGGATGTTGTATAGTGATGGTCGTTGTAATGATGAAGTTGTGTAGTGATGGATGTTGTGTAGTGATGGTCGTGCAATGATGAATATTGTGTAGTGATGGTTGTTGTGTAGTGATGGTCGTGTAATGATGAATGTTGTGTAGTATTCATTCAATACTATCATCTCTTCTCTCCTTTCCCCAAACTTAAATATTAACTTATAATAAGTATATTAACTTAAAAATGAACATAAATGTTAACTCTTCCTAAGCATTAACTTAAAGTAAAAATAATCTTACAAATAAAACGATAATTATTTACAATTCTTCCAGAGTTTTCGTCGTCTCCATAAAACATAATCTATTTGTTATTATATTTTTTTTCTGCACTTTAACAAGCTTTTCAATTGTCAAAGGTAATTCTGATATTGTTCCTAGACAATTTTACTTTTCTTTTTGCTGGAAGTTGATTTTCCCTTGTATCTGAAATGTCCAGTGTCCTTTTTGTAGAAATTTTATTGTTCCAATTTGAAGATGGGGATACTCTGGTAACAGGTTCATCCCTAGGTGGGGAGATTCTTCTCCTTACATTGATTCTTGCTGAGGAGACTCTCGTAGTAGGTTCATCCCTTGGTGGGGAGATTCTTTTCCTAACAGTGATTCTTGCTGGGGAGACTCTGGTAGTAGGTTCATCTCTTGGTGGGGAGATTCTTTTCCTAGCAGTGATTCTTGGTGGGGAAACTCCGGTAGTAGGTTCATCCATTGGTGGGGAGATTCTGTTCCATACAGAGTTTTTCTTTCTTGGTGAGGAAGATCGTGTATCACTGGACTGTGACACAACTAGTGCCCTTTTCAAGGAAATTTTATGGGTCAGGTTTGGTAGTGGTGAGGTTTTGGTAGCAGCTGTGATCACTGGTGGTGGTGAGACCTTAGTAGCAGCTGTGATCACTGGTGGTGGTGAAGCCTCGACAGTTAGTATATTTTCTTTTGTTCCTGGAAGGGTTTTTTCAGTGACTTTGGCCTTATTAATATTGACGTCGTACTCAACTCTAAGGTACACCTTCCTTCCTTCCATACTTATCTCTTCGTGGTCCTCTCTTACAACTCTGTGTGTTAGAGAATTCCTATTATATTTTACAAGAGCCCAGCCACGGTGACTCTCTGGAGTAATGTAAGACTCCATGGTAAAACTAATGATCTCACCGAACTTCTTAAAATGCTGATAGATCTCGGATTGGGTTCTTCCGAAATCGATATTTTTAGCATACACTGCCCTGTTGACTTCCATATCTTCTTTTGCCTGTTGGATGACCTTATCCCGGAGCTCCCGGTGATCCTCAACGGAAGGGACGATCACCACAAACTCATCATCGCCGGAGCTGTGAGAATCCATGGTTACTTCTTGCTCTGAGACCTCTTGGAAAAAAAGAACTCTCAGAGGCAGGCGAAGTAAGCCATACAATCAAATTTTTCTTACAAATTTCTTTTATTCAAATTTACTGAGGTTCACCTCATATACTAGTGTTCAAAATATAGTTACCCTCGAATTATTGATAAGAATGTTGTGTAGGCGAAGATAAACGGTAAATTTTGTGTTAAGTATGTCCGTCGCTGACTGCCTGATGTATACACAAATATTCAGGATAGTTTTTAATAGTGATAATAACTCAGTTTTAACCTGAGGACAATTCTCTCACAGGATAATTAATAATATACCCGAGGTTGACCTCATATTTACCTGGAGTTTACCTGGAGAGAGTTCCGGGGGTCAACGCCCCCGCGGCCCGGTCTGTGACCAGGCCTCCTTGTGGATCAGAGCCTGATCAACCAGGCTGTTGCTGCTGGCTGCACGCAAACCAACGTACGAGCCACAGCCCAGCTGGTCAGGAACCGACTTTAGGTGCTTGTCCAGTGCCAGCTTGAAGACTGCCAGGGGTCTGTTGGTAATCCCCCTTATGTATGCTGGGAGGCAGTTGAACAGTCTCGGGCCCCTAACACTTATTGTATGGTCTCTTAACGTGCTAGTGACACCCCTGCTTTTCATTGGGGGGATGTTGCATCGTCTGCCAAGTTTTTTGCTTTCGTAGTGAGTGATTTTCGTGTACAAGTTCGGTACTAGTCCCTGTAGGATTTTCCAGGTGTATATAATCATGTATCTCTCCCGCCTGCGTTCCAGGGAATACAGGTTCAGGAACCTCAAGCGCTCCCAGTAATTGAGGTGTTTTATCTTCGTTATGCGCGCCGTGAAGGTTCTCTGTACATTTTCTAGGTCAGCAATTTCACCTGCCTTGAAAGGTGCTGTTAGTGTGCAGCAATATTCCAGCCTAGATAGAACAAGTGACCTGAAGAGTGTCATCATGGGCTTGGCCTCCCTAGTTTTTAAGGTTCTCATTATCCATCCTGTCATTTTCCTAGCAGATGCGATTGATACAATGTTATGGTCCTTGAAGGTGAGATCCTCCGACATGATCACTCCCAGGTCTTTGACGTTGGTGTTTCGC